CTCGAATGTCCTAATGACCACAGTGAGTATTACTGTGGGTCCCAAAGACAGTGCTCTGAGGATTGGGTCCTAGGAACATCAACCATAGGTATATGGAACCCTCAATAGGAGGGAAATACCTCAACATACGTCAAAAATCCCTAGCACTCATTCTCTGATCAGCATCAGCTTTTCCCTCTTCTCTTTTCCTCACTGCTGTTTTCCTATCTAGAATATCCTGCTTTGCCTGCTTTTATTCAAATCTGGTTATTGGAATCCAATGCGGTCTCACCTTGTGGTTTGTATTGAGCCTGTCCTCTGCTCAGACTTCCTCTTCTGATGGGGAGAAACTTTGAGGCCAGCAAAGTCTGGGCTCCAGACCTGCCTGGTGATCCTGTTTGGTCTGTGCACCTCGGAACTCCATAGGAACCATCAGTGCAAGAAGTCCAAGAGGAAGCGCCAGCCCCCACCCCCCCATATTAGCTTCTGAAATCTCAGCCTATGTTAGGTATGTACCCGCCACTATCTCTCTCCACACTGAACCCAATCTGTTCCCAAGTCCTTCTGCTAATTCCAGATACCTTGGGCTTGTCTGTATGTTCTTCTAACGGTTTCCTTTGAAATTACCCACTTGAACTGGTGCTCTCTACCTTGCATCTGGAGATATGGAGAAGACACTTAACTATCACCCCATTCCTGATAATGCCCTGAAAATAATCCTCCATATTGTGGCTGATTTTTTTTTTTGGAGTTTATTTATTTATGTCTTTTTAGATACAAAAAGACACAAAGAGGCACCACAACAGGGTCTCTTTCCACAATTCATGTGAGCCTCAGTCAGCCAGGGTCACAGGTGTGTTCTTGCATACCTGGTGGGTCTAAGGAGGGTCTGGGATGTGAACCCAGGACCTTTTATGTGCCTTTAACATTGTGGCGTGTTGTATTACTGCTGCGCCACCATGACAGGTCTTGAATTATTCTCTTTAGAGTAGGCATCTAATGTCACTCATGTTCTTAAGCACTTTAATGACTTCCTGTTGCTCTCAGGATAAAGAAGTGCATAGAAGGCCATTTAAATCTGGCATTATCCACTTACCCCCCAATTTCTCTCCCTCTGTCCCCCACTCCTAACCCTCTTGTAATTTATATGCCAGCCAAACTGAATAGGATACCCTTTCCCGTTCCTAGACTGCGACAGGCTCCCCCTTGTCTCGGGATCTTTGAGTCCAACCTCGATTGTATTCTACTAATCCCAGGGGGACAGACACCTTGTCTGCTGGAATGCATCATTTGCCTTGTCCAGAACAGGGATGACTGCACTGTAGACACCTCAACTCAAGCAAATTTAACCTCACAGATGGACATTCAAGTAAGTGCTGTGCTCTTCACAGGGTTTACTTTGGAAACAGCAACAAGCAAACAAAACATAGCTATTTATTTTGTAAAGAATCAAACTTCTGGTTTAAACCTACTTAAGATGACAACTTCTAAGGTCTCCTGCCCACCCACATGCACACATGGGCATTATCTAGCATGGCTATGCTCATTGGTTCCCAAGATGGATTCAAGTTACTATTGATTATAGAAATAAATTGCTTTGCCAAAGGATAACACATTTCAATTTAAAGTTCTGCCAGGTGTGTGTGGTCATCAGAGAGAGCATGGGGGCAGGGTGGGAGGATGAGAAAGCACCCTCACCATGAGGCATGATCATGCTGCTGTCCCTTCTCCATCTCTGCCTCCTTTTCAGTCACACACACTCACATCCTTTTCCAGCATTGCCTCCTTTTCGGCCATTGATGCTCACATGCATGCTCACATGAATTTGGAGGTAAGTGGATCATGCCAGACTTAAATGGCCTTAAGTGTTTCTAAACCTCCAGGTCTGAGATTCAAACTACAAAAGTGGCCATGTGGGATCCAGGTGCCTTAACCACCATGCCATGGGCCAGCCCAGATGAAAATTTTCGAGCACTAGGGAAATGTAAAGAATGTGCCTTAGTCTTCACACAAGTATTTAATCTATGTAGAAATGGGTTCTTCCATTTACTGGGCAGTTGCCAGGCCCCGTGGTAGGTCCCGGGAGCACAGTAAGAATAAGGGTGGGAGGCGCCTATCCAGCTGGCCATTCTGACCCCAGCAGGGCAGAGACAGTCCACTGTGCTGAACATGCCTTGACACCCTGCTGCTGCCTGCTGCAAAGGAGCCACTCCGGTTATCAGAAGGAGAGAAGAGATGGCCTCAGGGAGGGAGGGTCCACTAGAGGAAGCCCCAGGTCACCACTGAGGCCCCAGGACTTTCCAGCGAACTGAAATGGCTAATGAGATCATCCACGTCCTCTGTGAGCTGTCTGCACTCACTCAAGCTGGACGGCGATTCGTATTTTGTTTCTGGACAGTTCTGGACAGTTAGAATCGAAGGTGGCTCAGGGATGTGGGCACTGGTGAGGACAGTCATGGGGTCCTGTTACTTTAGACTCTTAGGCCCCAGAAAGTTTTGAACTCTGCCTCTACCACTTAATCTGCTTTGGTATTTTGCATTCATTGTTCAGGGGTGGGTGATGCTAGCAGAAAAGGGGGAGGAAAATGTTAATCTTGACTTTTGACCCAAAGCTAGAATACAGAGAAGAATATGAATTGTTTAGGCTTTGAAAATGTGTGTGCTAAAACAGCCAATAAGAAAGAGCAAGCACCTGTTGTGTGTGTTAAAACAGCCAGTAAGAAAGAGGGAGCACCTGCTGTGTGTGTTAGAACAGCCAGTAAGAAAGAGGGAGCACCTGCTGCGTGTGTTAGAACAGCCAGTAAGAAAGAGCGAGCACCTGCTGTCTACACTATGAAGGCTCCCTGGGGCTTCCAGAATGGAGGAGCTGAACAGGGATAGGGCAGCACACAGATATGTAGGTCCCTGATGGGAACACTGTGCTCTGTGCTGGGGCCTGGACACATGCATAGAGGAGTAACCAGAAATCCCAGAATGGCCTGGGAAGACAGAGCATCTGCAGGCTCCTTTCCCAGACAAGACTTGTGGAGCATCAAAGACCCAAGGAGAGGGCAGACACAGGGACCTCAGGACAGGGACCTTAGCTGCCACCAGCACTCCCCGTGGCCATGCACTTCTCAGAGTGGTGGCAATTCTCTGTGTTCTCTGGGTCAAGGTAGAACTGAAATGGCTGATGAGAAGGCCGGAGGTTGCCTTCTGTGTACCAAGAAAGGAAAACCTCTTCTGTAAGAGCAAGAGTGAGACTGAAGGACCCCTGGTCCACTGAGGGGACCTCCAGTCAGATGGCACAGGACTGTCTCTGCCCTGCTGGGGTCAGAATGGCCAGCTGGATAGGCGCCTCCCACCTGATACTCTGATTCTGTTCAGGGGAGAGAAGTACTCTGGCTTGGCTGGATGTGCACTTCAATCACCAGTCAGGGTAAGCCCCTGAGGTGGAATCGAGATTGTAAACACAAGCACTCATGCACATACGCACGCATGCACACATGCACACACAAGGGCAAAGTCTTCTCTTCTCCACCAGACTCCCACGTAACACCACCTCTTACAAATGGGTACGAATGCTTTGTGGTGTTCCTTTTCATTCAGTGGCACAGACAACAAGTCACTGGAAAAGTTTAATAGGCTTTAGTCACCCAACTGTTTGCCCACCTATTGAGGCAGCTAGATTGTCTGTCATCTGTTCGCAGCTTATCTCACTGCCCCGAGTAGCGCAGACCGCGCTTGCTGCTCTCTGAAGCTCTCTCGCATTGTTCGTAATAGCTGCATAATATTCTGTTTCATGCTGACACTACAGTTGGTTTAGCCCTTCCTCTACTGATGGGAATTTGGTAGTTTACAGAATTCACTGAGGGTAAGGCATTCATTCCATTTTATGACTCTATTATGATCTATTGAAGCCTCTCTTAATAGATATTTAGGCAGTATTTCCTATTACAAATAATACTCAAGCAACAAAATTGTACATATGTCTTTATGTGTTAATTTTTCAATATATTTTTAAAAGTGTTCTAAGGGTATTAACAATACCACATTGTATTAGATAATGCCGAATTGCCCCCAAAACGTCTGTACTAGTCAGCTGTTCTTGCCAGTGATTATGAAGCTACCTATTTCATTACACCTTCAACAGCACCTGATGCTAGCAATGTATGTTAATCAGATTTGTAAATAAAAAGTATTTTATTGTTCCTTCCTTACATATTCCTTTAATCAATAGTGTGGTTGAACATCTTCTCACAGATTTATTTGCCATTTCAACTTCTTTATGCATATGCTTTATTCCTCCAGGGAATTTGCTGCCATTTTCTTTTGATGAGTGAATTCCTCTGAATGTGGGATATTCATACTCAATCGGTTGTGAATGTTTCCCCTTCCTAGTCTTTCTATTGTTTTTAAATTTGGTCTAATCTGGTTTTACTTAGAAAAAAGTTTCTAATATTTTGTAGCCAAGTATGTCAGTCTCTTTTTCATTCTGTGCTCTCTCCCTGTAAGATAACTCTTGTTCCCAATGTTACAAATGTTCCCTGTATTTTCTTCCAATACTTTTGGTTCTTATTTATTGCTTTGAGGTTTTTGATTGTGGGAGGCTGCACACCAGCGAATATCGCCGGTTTCTCAGAAAGCAAACAATTACACAATGCCAAAAGCCATGATTGGCTTCCCTTCAAAACCTCACCTTCAAAACCATACTCCGATTAGCCACTAGAATCCCTCAGATTTGCATATCTGGCACCTCATGATTGGTCCACAAAGCAACCAATCATAACCCACCTTTTACAACCAATCACAGCCCACCAGCATGTATATAACCACGATTCCTGGCCCACAGTCTTCAGACAACCCTGAAGAGCCTGAAGAGTTGTAACACCATGTCGTCTCCGGACAACCTTGAAGACCCTGAAGAGTTGTAACACTATGTCATCTCCGTGCTGCCCACAATAAATGGACGACCCTGACACTGCGTCGTCTCCGTGTTGTAACATTGTGCCACTCATCCTGGCTCTCACTCCTTCCCTCAGGAAATCTGTTCGACTGTCCCCCGGGTCGAGACATGTGGCGCCCGAACAGGGACCCTGAGTATGAAAGATTCAGTGAAGAGCACCCAAGAAAGGACGGCAGAGAATCGTCCAGGAGGGGACAGCAGAGAATTGTCCCGAGAAAGGCCACAGAGGAGGACAGCAGAGAATCAAACCGGTAAGTAACAAAAGTCGCTTACTCATAAGTAATAAGGGTAATAATGGGACAAGTAATAAGGGTAATAATGGGACAAGAGCTTAGTCAGCATGAACAAGAGCTTAGTCAGCACAAACTATTCATTCAGGGCTTAAAAGAAGCCCTTGCCACTATGGTCGATCTAACCAAGGATTCTAAAATTGAAAAAGAACAGGGAGAGGATCTTATTTCCCTAGATAGTGAGGAAGAAGTTAAAAGCCCTGAAGGCGAGATAAAACACAAAAATCCAAAAAAACTAAAAAAGAAAAACAAC